ACTCAGGCAGACATAATGAGCTACAAAGATAAGATCTGGATTGACAGCATCGAAACAAATCTGCAATGCAGAACTGTCAGTAACAACAAGGAGACCAAGATACTCGGTGTGATCACAAAGATCAAAAACAGTGGGCTGCTCCTAGACAAAAACAACTTTTTATTCGGGCACAACACGAGTAAAAATCTGGACAGCCGAATAATGGACTACATTCACGGCAGCTCACCACTCTTTGCGAACATCCAAAAGATCATGGGTGGTGGCAGTGGTGAGGCCTGTCGTTTCTGTAACAGCTTCATTGATTCCCCCGTACACCAGCTCCTATTGTGTCTGGAGGTGCAAGACACCAGTTACCTGCAACTGAAAGAAGAGCTGGGTGGGGCAGACTCACATTCCTATCTAGATGAAGTGTTAACAAAAAGCAGCACACAAAAAGCATTCATTAGGAGAGTCGAATTTCTTTGGGGACAGAGTGATGCTCTCCAGGATTTATCCGACTAGAAAGATCATGAAATAAAGACTCTGCAAACATCTCAGAGAAATATTACCACCATAAAGAACAAAGAGGGATAGCCACCAAGACAAAGGAGGACTACAGCCAGGTGATGTGTAACATCAGGACACGCCTGAGCATGGATATAATGAGGAGTGTGCTAGTAGCAGTTAGAGGTGTACGTGGAAAGGCAAAGAAGGCATGGACCGCCCCTATATCCAACGTCTCCTTCAACCTGATACCTGAGGAGAAGAGCTACGAGGGATAGATGATATCTATTGCTCAGGATTTACGATTGTGCTCTGCCAATTGCATCACTTGATTTAATTTATTGTATATATATACTGTTTGACATACAAAGAGGGAGTATCCTGGACCCCGAAATCCACCACTTTTCTGTACTTTCAGAGGTACCAATGTGGCAGGAAACCAGGGCTCATGCTGCCGCTGAGCTAAAGCAGTAGAGGGGATGGCGGCTTCTCTAGGATCTAACACGTCCTGAAGCAGACCAACACTATGTCCCAACGCACTGGTGTTGGGATGTCTGCCCCCGGTGCCTGTCCGGGTCAATAAAGCAGTCAAGCATTATGTATGTTATGTTGAGCATTCTCAACCAACAAATGTGGGAACTCCCACGAAAGACCAAAACAGATCTAAAGAGACACTTAACAACATTGGAAAATAGACTTCAATTTGTTTATATAATTTATAAAGCGTATATTATTGCCCACGTTAAGGGGCCTGTTAACAATTTATTAAATTATTAGCTATTTTAGATTTAATAATAATAATCTCCATGAGACAGTGTGGACAAATTTTGGGGACCATTGTCGGCTTGAACTTATTAATGTGGTCGTTTAGTTCACAATGACCAGTAAGGAATTGTGTTGCTGTTCTTGTGCTCTCTTTGCCAAGTTTCGGGATTGATCTGGCGAACTTATGTCTCCATACTCGTTTGAAGTGAGTGTTGGGCAACGTTCTCCATCTTTCCCTCATTTCACTGCTGTGACCATTCCACATGAGAAGATCTCTCTGTCATTCCTCCAGTCACTATATTATCATACAGTGACTTGTTGCTGAGCAGTGTCTTTATTTTTCAGTAGATGGAATGACTGCAATGTTTCCAAAATGTGGCCTGGAAACTGCACATTTATGTTGTTGCTGGTATGGTTACAACAAATAATACCAGAACCACTATCATATCATGTTGCAAATCTAAAAGAAGCGCTCAAAGAAGCATCCGCCAAAGTGTGTTTCAAATAAAAAGCAAAACGTGCAGTTTTACTAGTACTACCGTAGTTAAGTTTTTCGAAATTGTCCCACATTCAAAGTTCAAACGACGATTTGGCGACCCCCTTCCCACGCACAGTGGGCCGGGGTCGATGGGGACCTTCCTTACGCCACTGCTTTGTCGTCCCCGTCCTCGTCCTCAACCAGCTGTTGAGGTGTTGCGTAGTCTCCTTTACAGTTTGAGTTAAAGTTTTACATGTAATTACAGATAATCCTCAATATTTGGCGCGCGATATTTCAAAAACACAATGTCAGATTTTGGTCCGGTTTTTTTCTTCTTGTTCGTCTCCAGCAGTTCTAATCAAATATGTAAAAACTCCCCCCAAATATGTGAAAACTCCCCCCATAACTTTTCGCATGTAGCAAAGAACTCATGGCGCTTATTACATATTATCAGGTAACAGGTATCAAGCTTTTTACTACTATACTGCCGTTCCCTGAGAAAACGCATTAAGTCACATCGATGTCGTTTTGAGAAAATGGGACAAACGTGTTCGTCGTTTTTTAGGTAATTTTACTCACATAAAAGGGGTTAATTTTGACATTTATGCGTAAATAAATTATTGTCATAAGTCCTAAACATTATCTTCAAATTTGTGGAACAGTCGACAAGACTGGATAGGGAATAGAAAATACTTTTTGGTAACCTGCTTGGATTCTTCACCAGGAACTTTTGACGGATGTTACTCGTCTAAATTTCTTCGAAGTAGCGCGCGCCGCTTTCTTCTCGAAATGTTATGGCCCGATGGCAAGTGCTACGAAGTAGCGCGCGCCGGGCCAGATCATTGACAATGGTCAACAGGAACTTTCGCTAAATCACATACTAGGCACTCAACCTAGGCCCATCTCCGCATAGAGACATATCTCCCAGGCTTTGACCTTGCTCGGAAATCCCTTGTCTGCCCGCATAAGTACTAGAACGGAAGTGGGTTTGCTCTGAGACAGGTAGTGACAGCTTCAAGACTCCAGGGGTCTGTTGCATTGATATTTATTATTTTATGATTTCGTATATACTTTGGGAGTCCTGACATGCAGCTAGCAGGAGTTGAATTCTGTGGGCACGGTGATAAGGCCTCCATCTTTTTAGTAAGAGGCCAGAAACCGTTGACCAGAACAGAGAAAGAGAGAGAGCTGAGAGGGAGAGAGCTAAAGTCCTAAACATGTATCGCACCACAAAGGTTTAGAATAAATGAGTGCATGTTAAAACAGACATGGCAATTATTACCGGAAATCAAATTTCGCCGCGCATAACTTTATTCAAACTTGTTTTTCATTTTCAATTTTTAATACGCAAAATAAAAATACAACGCAACATTACATACCTTTGACTTGAAAGCATTGAAATTAAAATTGCATTTACGCTCGCGCAACAACAAATTTCCTCAACTAAAGTTTTTTGTTCGACTGAAACATGAAAGTGAATTGTTTTTAATGATTCATTATATTAGCAAGTGCCTTGTAATACGTTGTATGACCCACTGCGCACGGGTGCGCGGCTCCCCCTGTTATATCGTTGAAACTCTATAGTGAAACGACAGTGGGGGTCACCGCGTGATACAACAAGTGCCAAGTTCATTGTGAAAAGCATAATACAAGAAATAATTGTGGAACTGACAAGATCATATTGTAGGTTTATAACCTACCAAGACTTGACCATTGTTAATGATCTGGCCCGGCGCGCGCTACTTCGTAGCATTTTCCATTTCGAGAAGAAAGCGGCGCGCGCTACTTCGAAGAAATTTAGACGAGTAACATCCGTCAAACCAGGACGCGCGCCGAGTTGGACTCGTCGACGGTATCTGGAACAAATATTTTACGAGTATTACCCGTTAAGATCATATGAGTGACATTAAATTTAAATAACAAACGTGCTAAATCATATACAGTCGATCTTCGATATTTTTCTAAAAGGGCCCCGGCCCCGACAATTGAAACCAACTTGTATCATGTATAATATTAATAAATGTTTGATAAACGGAAAATCATAAACATTGAAGGAGATACTTCGGAAAACTTTTAAATAGAACATAAAAGCTTTTTTTCCGTTTACATTAGTTTACTTAACCAAAATAATTCTCAGTTATGATCTAATTTTTGACTGCAGTGACCAATTTACCTGGGGACCCCAGGCTATTATGTTCATAATCATAAACATGAGAATAAAGATTCGGCGCGCGGAATGACACTGACAGGCTGAGCGCCGCCCAGTAATGACCAATCTGCATAAAGTTTATTTATTGTGAGGGACACAAATTACTAATACGAGCAAGTGCGCGCCCGTACTTAACATAATTCCTGGACAACATTTGAGGTGCTGGAAGTCAAAATTCCGGAAAAGGCGCTGCAAAAAGGAAAATCGCCAAAATGTGCTACCAGTCTATTACATTTTCAAATATCAACTTAAACGGTCCGAAACTTTACGACGGGATATCTTTTATGTTTTACTACATACTAAAAAATATTTAATTAACTATGGATGGTGTAAACACAATTGAAAAACTATTGATATTGTAGGTTTATGACCTAAGCTACCAGTACCAAGACGGGCGCCGAGTTGGACTCGTCGACGGTCTTGTCGTAATATTTGGAACCGTTAAAAAAACTAGTACTATTGCAACTATATTTAAATAATTACGATGTTATTACCACTGATTGAGTGATTTAATGAGTTTATTTTCTAGACTTAGAGTAGTCAGTGAAAAGTAGAATATTAGGTTGAAATGAAATCGGAAAGTTTGATAACAGACCATTTATATACCAAACTAAACGTTGTACAACTACAACTTATTGGCGGAGCACTTATCATATTGCATTGGTACCGATTAGTTGATCCGTTTTTGAAAAATTTAATCACCCATAAATGTAAAATAACATTCGTTCTTTACTTGAACAAGGTGTTGACATACATCTTTATTGAATATTGATGCTACCGTGATATTCTATTGTTACAATACCTAGAGTTATAATACCTACATAATTAAATTCTTACCTGTTTAACCCTTTACACTTATCATAGTTATAGCTTAAATTGTTCATGAAACTATCTATAAGTATAAGGTCTCAATTGCTTCCAGCAGTTTGGTTGTATTCTATCGGTGCATCAAAGGAAAGTACAAGTAGAAGGAACGAGTTTAAAGGTGGTGTAGAATGTTTAATGTATATGACACATTCTACATTCTACATTCCACATTGGGTTTGAACAAGAGAAGAAGCCACATTTTCAAATGAAGGATCAAATTATTATTATTTAAATTACAAAACAAAGAATTATAAATAAAATACACATATGTACACTCAATTAATGGTGGTTGCTCTACACACCTCTCCACGTGCGTGCGTATCGTGATACATTTTGCCCAAACATTAAAAAACGAGTATAAAAATTTTTACAATCGAAGACCGCGTTTCTTTCACGGTTTCCCGATACGAGACATTATATTCTGAAAAGATGTGCACAAAAACCGGAACACTTGAAGTCGTGTTGCTGGAACCGTATCACCATGGTAACAATGTGCCCGCAGCAAAACAATAATAATAACAATCAATTAAGTTACCACAGCAACGGTAACGTTTCGCTATGATTCTGATTGAGTGTTCGCGTGGTCGATGAAGATCGCATCTGATTTTGTAAAGAGCATCTTTTCATCTGGTGCTTGTAAATTCACTGAATCGCAGATCTTCTTGTTGAGATCGAGTTTTCCCTTGAACTCCGTACTCAAATTATCCGAAATATAAACATCTGGCCCGTAGTTTTTCAAAGTGTCCGGGTCATTTCCCCCGGTCAAAGTGTCGTTATTAGGGATGACAGTAAGTTCTTCCCCAGAGTCTATAGATTTGTCCGACTCCTTGATATGCGAGAGAGTCACTAGTCGACTGCTTCCCTCACTTCCCCCACCCTCACTAACTGAACAACTGGAAGATGACGACGATGAAGAGGCCGAGCTCATTGGCTGAGGCTGGGGTAGATGGTTCCGTTTCTCGTTACTAGCAGGCATACTCTGAGCACGAGAGACTGAAGAAGAAGGATCGACAAGGGTGCGGCGTGTGGGGCCCAGCTCACTGTGGGACCGAGTGACGGAGCATGCGGCGTGGCGCGCGACTGCTGGGGACTCTGCCTGGTGGTTACCAGCGCTGTTCACAGAGCACGTGCTCACTGACTTGCTGGCATCCATATCCGTGTACAACTTGTTCTTCTCCCGCTTGTAGTTGTCCTGGAAAAAAACTTTTTAGTGGACAAATTTATAATCTTCTGTAACAACACTCCAATTAATTGGCATCACATTAATCAAAATAAGCCTGAAATCATGATCAACGAGAAATGGAGGCAGAGCAGATCAACAGCGTCTCTTGACAAACAGGGAGAAGAAACCGTACCTTTGCCTGGATGACGGCATTGAAGAGAGTCTGATGCGACTCCTGTGAAGTAGACTGTAACAAAAACATATCCACCAAACTGCCATACTCGTTCAGATAAACTACTACATTAGTGTGACTCGCGTTACTTAATTCTTCTATTTCCACTCTGTCTAAAGTCATCGGCTGAAATTAAGAGGTTTTAGTGGGCCAGCTTACAAACAGTTCATGAACGTGACAATTTAATTTGTGAAACCGATAAAGAAATCTTAGTGCATTCAAATATTTCGTACTCAAGTCACCAGTGTAGTCACCAGTGTACTAGCTCACCTGTTTTATAATCCTGTTTTTCTTTTTAGACCCCTTATTTGGTCTGGTAACTAAAATATGATCCGAAAAGAGGAAGAGAGTGACATCTTGTGTTTTACTATCTAGTTTACTGTCGAGTTTACAGGATGTTTCGTGAAGGAACTTTCTCTGGGTATTGAGCAGAGGGACTTTATCAGCCAGGTCAAACTTGTTGTATTTGTTTAGCATCTGGGGAGAGAGAGGCGGTTAGTAGTTGTGGGTATTTGGATACATTCTTCAAATTAGTTCATAGGTGTTTATTTGATTGGTAAATATTTATTTAATTTGTTAAGTAGTTATAATCTAATTACCTGATTAATCTGCTCGTTGGTGTTGTGACCAACAGAAGGCAGAACACTATAGCTTTCAATCCCTATCCTTTCTTTGATTCCCTCAATTTTCGCTTGCTCCTCTTTTTCCTCCTTCTGTCTGTTTAATGATTCCACGAACCCTTTCACTTTTTCCAACTGATAAATTTGTTTAATTAGGGTAAATATTATCACCTTATAAGTAAGTTAAGAGGAAATGTTAAAATAAACTTTCAGTTTCATTTGAAGGAGAAACAGTTTCACTTTCGCTTTCACTTGTACAAATTAAAAGCTGTCAGTTTCACTTACAAATGAAGATAAGACGGATCTGGTGTCGTCATCTGTTGTCTTGCGGAGGATATCTTTGATAAGAATAGGGTATTTCTGTATCCTTTGTATGGGTTTTATTAACATGTCATCCACCCCAAGTTTGTTGTGCTGTACTCGGATTTCGTTACTACACCACTGTATAACAAAAAGTGTGTTAATTAATTGATAATTTTAATTAATTGATAATGTTAATAAATTTGTTTAAAATAATGATCATGCCACTCGGCAGCTAATAAATGTTATACAGTAAAGACTTAAAGAGTTCACAGATAACTCCCGACCACCCTGACTGTCAGAAGCTGTAGTTTTAACTTAGCAACAGATAAACTCTATGGTTTACACCCAGACAGTATGTGTTAAAACTTCAATGCTAAGTTAAAACAACAATTAATATTCCCAACACTTACGTTAATGTACTCTTTGAAGTCATTGTTCTTGTGTTGTTGAGACTTGATGTAGCTTCTACTCTCAATGTACTTGATACAGTACTCAAACAGCGGGTTTAGGTTCTCCTCAAATAAGTGGCTACTTCCGGTTAGTATCTCGGGGTCCAGGAGTTCACCTGTGTCTTTAGCCTGAGGAATGTAGGGTTACAGTCACGTGACAAACAATACACTTGCACTGGTATGTTGTACACCACGTTATAATTAACCTTTGGCTGGTGATTTTCTGTCTTGTAACTTAAAGATCTACACAAAATGTTACATGATATCACCACAACATATTAATTATTACATGAACTGATTATTCTAGATAAGAAAGAAGAAGATAACCACAACTGACCTTATCTATAAGAGGCACGATACACTCATTCCAGAACGCAAGATGAACTTCTCTGATCCTTTCTATATTCAGGAAGACGTCGTGCTCGTTTATCTTCGTCAAGAAGTTCTCTGCGGTGGGGTACTGTTTAAAATATAGTTCAATAATATTTTGAATGATAATAATAATGTTTTTGATCTCTACTATCTCCGTGATTTGGCTTATGACAAGAGATATCAACAGAAGCTAGCGAAGTTTTGACATCTAGTTATTTGTTTCTAGGGGAAGATTAGACTTGGGCGTTGTTTTTTAAAACTATCTCTCGTTTAGAACTTTTATTTAATAATTTGCATAGTAGGGCTGTTTAACAGACTTTGAGACTATTTGAACCAACTTTGTAACGAAAATAAGCGTTATCAAACAGGCGTTGAAACATTCTGCACTGGTTTAGTTGATATCTTATTTAAATCTATTAATAGCCGAGAGATGTACACAGACAGTAGCGCACTGTTGTGGAGCTCCTAGAAATTAGCAATTATGACTAAAAATGACTAAAAATGACTAAAAATGACTAAAAATGACTAATAATGACTAATAATTACTAATTATTACCGTTATGGAGTTCCTTGAGGCAGGTAAGCAGGGAGTTAATAACAGTTGATATAATGGTTATGTGGTTATGTTCTGTAGTTACAAGCTCCCATATGTGGTGCTGTTGTTCCATGTCCTTCTTTCCTAGTCCCTGTTTAAATAAAATCAGTTAGAAATATGTGTATGTTCATGAAATAAGTTCAGTTATAAATATGTTTGAATTTTGAAATACGCTCAGTTACTGTTATTAGCGATGTTAGTGGTGAATAAAGAACTATAAATTATAATAACGAATAATAACAACAATTAATCGTGTTTTTACCTGTACAACAGATTGAGGGACCAGTTCTTTCCAGTCAGTAAAATCTAGCGGTGGTATACCGGCAGCCTTATTCAGATTACTCTTTATCCTATCCATCTGCTCTGATATAGACTTTGCCTGAAGAAAGAACAAGGTTAAATAAAGCACTGAAATTAAGAAAATGAATAGTAATAGCAAGCCATTGTACGTTAATAAAGATTACTCGGGTAGGAAGGGTAGAAAGGGTTGGGATGTTTCTACCCAGGGAGGCTGGTAAGGTAAAACAGAAGTATAAAGTGGTAAATTGTAGTAAATTGTAGTAAATTGTGGTATCAGATGATGGTATTACTTTAATAGCGTGGACCTCTTCCCCAACATCCAATAAGTTAGACTGAGACTTAGACAACATGCCCGACAGAGCCACCAGAAGACTGCTCCTCCTCCTAGGACTAGGACTAACACTCTGTATAATACTGGTAGGAGGAGTCAAGGGGTCTCTCTTCCTGTTATAACCTACAGGACTGTTATAACCTACAGGACTTGTGTACACTGGGTCAGTATCCTCCAGCAGGTTGCCAGTGGAGCGGCTGATCCCACGACTGAAGGGCAGAGCGGAGAGGGTGTCTAGAGTAGCAGCTTTGTTACCAGCAGATAGGGGTCTGTTGGGTCTGGTTAGAGGGATACTGGAGGGGATGGAGTTCCGGGAGTTCATCTTCCTCCTCCTCGCTCGTCTCCTGAACCCTGTCCTGTTGGGTAGTGTCCCTCCTTTCACAGTAACATCCTCACTACTACTACTACTGCTGCTGCTAGCACCTGAGTAGGGGGTTACCATCATGGCGGGTAGGGTCATCCTCCTGTTCTCCTGCATCAGGGGGTCTGTAGTGGTGATGACTATAGGGTGGGTCATACTCCTCGTCAACTCCTCTATACGGTTAACAGACCCTTTCAGAGACAGAACTGGGTCTTCTTCCTCATCACTTTCCGTCTCACTGTGTACCCTGACTAGGACTCTATCTCCGTTACCTTTACCAAAGTACCTCCTCTCTCCTGTCCCTTCTTTCTCGTAGTACCCCCGGTTATCTGCCTCCTCGTTACCCCATTCTCCTGTCTTCCCTGACTTTTTCTCTTCCTCCTCCTCCTCCTCACTAAAACTCCTCTCGTAACTGGAACTTGAACAGATGATGTTCTGCGACTCATCGTCCTCTGATTCAAGTGTCATGAGGGATTTCCAGGGGGATAGTGGTCGGGTTTCCTCCAAACTGAGGGTTCTGCCCCAGTTTAGACTGAGGTTCCTGTTACCATGGTTACCATGTTCGCTCATCTTGCATCACTGAGTGGAAGGGTTCAGATACAGGTCCATAAGTTGGATAATTGGTAAATCCTAATTGATTTTCTATGTATTGATATAAAACTGATATTTGTACTACATAGTAGTACTACATAGTAGTAGTAGTAGTACTATTATAATACTACATAGTAACATGTTAAAGTAAAATAATTCAAAGTACAATATGATTGGTTCAGAACGCGCACGTGCTTTAACTACTATAGCTATATTCAGTACGTGTTAATAATATGCGCATAATAACATGATAGTATGTGAATAACATGTAACGGCTATATCTTCTGACTGGGAGACTCGCCGTCTCCAGGACTCAGTGTAAACTAGATGGTTTCAACAGTTGCACAGTTAGTGTTGATAGGTACAACAGTTGGCGAGTGTAAAACAGGTTCTACAACAAACGTGGTAAAGTTTACAAGTGCAAACAGTAAGGAAACAGCAAGTTGTGGATCTGACTAAGCTTCCAAACAGTAAGAAAACAGCAACTTGCAGATCTAAGTAACCACCGTATGTTTGTCGGGTGTTTTGTTGATCGTAATTACATATTTTCTACACATAATCATCTAATTATATAATAACATATTACACAGCCGGAGGAGAGAACGTCATGCTGATCAGGGATCGTTCGTCATGACAAAGTAACAGATGATGTCATCTTAAGTAGTTAATCACGGAGTTTTACTAATAATATAAGTCACTTTAGTCAGCTGCGATTTGCTTTACAACAACTGACACGTTGGAGACACAAGAAAGAGACTGGAACGAGACAAGAAAAAGACAAGAAAGACTCTCAAATTACTCTAAAAAGACAAAGCTCTCATATTACTTGCAAGCAGAGTGATAAGTATCGCTGAGTGTGTGATAGTGTTGCCAGGGAGCCTGGTAATGACTCCTAATAGGCCCCCACATGTGCAATTCAAGGGAATTAGGACGAGCATCTTATAGTAGATATAATATAAATAGTATACTATAAATATAGTATATTTAAATACTAGATATGTAGTATATTTATACTAGATATGTAGTATATTTATACTAGATATATAGTATATTTATACTAGATATGTAGTATATTTCATGGGAGTAAATGGAGAAGCTTATACTAGTAGGTGAGTACGAAGTATAAAGATACAAAGTCATACAGCTGGGATCAGCTAGTGTAAATGCAATAGACAAACTAGAAGATAATAATAAGTTAGATCACAGCTACTTGGAATATTAGGGGTGGATTGACACATGTTCAGTTGAGGTTACTCTGCACAAATATACAAATAGGCTCATCGGATTACACGTTTGAGTTATACGAAACTCTCCTAAAAGTAAATAACTACTTAGCATCCTAGAAGTAAACCAGAGTTAATATCTATTAATACATTTATTAAACTTCTAGTGTTATTAAAACTTCGGCAATACTAATATAGATAATAGAAATATGTAAATATTTCATACAAATACTATGGCGTGATAGTGGTGACAGGAATCGTTTCTCGAAAATTTTATCGACATCAAGCTAAATAGCATAAAATTAAAGTTATATACTCGAGTAAAACTGTACAAGTTTATTGAAACGAAGCCCAGCAATATGAAACTCGACTAATATTATAAAAACGTATACAAGGCGGGGAGAAAGGAAACAAAGGAACTGTCTACCAGAAGAATGTAGAAGATGGAGCAGAGAGTTGAGAAGAATGTACACAAAAGTACAGCAAGGGGGGACCAGGGGAGAGTTTAACAGTGGAGAAGATGTTAAACTGTAGTTTGACGTGCAGTGAAGAGTAGTGGTGGCAGGAGAGAGAGAGAGAGAGAGAGAGAGAGAGAGAGAGGGGGGAGAAGAGAGAGAGAGAGAGAGCCAGGCATGCTGACCCAGTTAGTCAAAATTAGATACAGTTAGTCAAACTTGGAGTCAATAAGATAATCGTGGAGCAGGTTTGCTTGTTACACTATCAGTGCGGCCAATTGAGATTTATAGGACTTTTCCCGGAAAGTAAAAGCCAGAGAAGTTGTTGAGACACGGAAACCACCTGTTATCAATTACTTAACATTCCAGTAACACATAAAGCACACGAGTTAAATCACACGAGTTAAATCACACAAAGTTGAAACAAATCACATGAGGTCAAAGTCGGGGCTATGGTAAACTACACTTATAAGAGCACCTAATCATTATAATAACACTGGAGCATCTAATATCCAATACAAACTGTATATCTCCTCAGCAAAGACCGTGTGTTAGAAGTAATATTATAATAATAACAGTATTATTACTGTGTCTTACACCCTATGGTACTCTACACTGGACTCTCACCTCGTGACACTAACTAACCAATGAGAGCACAGTATTCACTACACGTGACACGAACTAACCAATGAGAGCACATTGAGTTCTCACCTCAAACAAAACAAACAAGGTTCAAAGCTACACCGTGCAGTGAGCGGTTGTGCCCTTTCTTAAAATGTGAGTGTTATAGCTTACAATAGTGTACAATCATTATGTATAATTGTAATTATATCACGTGTAATTATGTATAATTGTAATTGTATCACGTGTAATTATCATCATATACTTATTATCAATATCTCAATATACCGTAGGAATTAGAGGCTAACTCTTACTACCAACAGAGAGAATATCTTTCTCTCAGATAATGACTTACTAATAACAAGCTCAAAATAAAACTATTAAAATAAAACATAATACCAGCAGCCCACAAGCACACACACACACACACACACACACACATTTAACAACTGATAGGGCTAGCGACCTGTGATATCTCAATCTGACACGTTTTTATTGAACACGTTCTACAACAAACACAGGTAAGGTCGCAAGTGTAACAGTATGAGTAAGGAAACAGCATGTTGTGGGTCTGAGTAAGCGTGTAAACAGTAAGGAAACAGCATGTTGTGGGTCTGAGTAAGCGTGTAAACAGTAAGAAAACATCGTAACAACCCCCCACACACAATAACTAACAACAGCTAGTGAGCTGTGATATCTCAGACTGACACGTTTTAAAATAATGGCTGCAAATATCAGATGTATGGCACAGTTGGTGTGTGAAGTTAAGAGAAAGTTGAGAGAACGTTAATGTTGACAGTGACAGAGCAATGGAGTTTGGCAAAAAGAGCGATACTGCAAGGCGACAAATCGTGCAGGACATTAAAATAAAGTGAGAGGCCGTTATTTGTTCTATTAAACCTGCTTATTAAACCTCCCGACAAAAGCAAAAGTTAAATAAATCACAATCAAGAATGTTTTAATATCTTTAATTTGGCTCCTCATCAAAACGCATAAGATAAAGGTTAATGCGGGGGGGGGGGGGGGGGGGGGGGGGGGGGGGGAGACACACAATGTAAAACAAAACAAAAAGGTACATATCCAGGCCAGTAAGCATGAGACAGTAGGTAGCCGCTCCAGTGTTATCAGTAACATTACGCTAGCAGAACAAGTAACATGATACAGAAGGAGACTACTGAGTCTCCTCCTCCTGCATCTTACTGTTGCTAGTTTAGTGCATGCAATTTGGCAATTTAGTAATTTGCTGGAATATTATATGTACGAGTATGGCGATATTATTACCATTTACCACTATATTAACTGACACAAAGTGTTCAAGCAGAAAGGAACGTTTCAAGGCTCAAAGCTTATGTGGACCGGAAAGAGAAGTTTTAACTGCAAATTCCGTGAAAATTGTGTTAAATTCCGTGTAAATACCGTGTAGAATAGACCTCCTGTTTCCTTATACGGGCATCAGGTGGTTTCTTACCGCCCCTCCCGTCTACAATGCAATTATTG